CTTTCATCCTCCTCCTCTTCCGCTTCTTCTTCCTCCTCCACCTCCTCCTCCTCCTCCTCCTCCACCTCCGTGTCCAGCGAAGTTCGAATCGCTGGTAGTGGCGTCGTGAGGTTAAGTGCTGGTTGTGGGCTTGCGGGGGGGGGGGGGGGGGAGAAGACACTCGCGTGACCGTGCACGCCAGCCCGCCGCACGTGTATCTGGAACGTGGCCTCCAGGTGCTCCCTGTGTGCCTTGCGGAAAACATTACAGCCTCGTGAGAAATCGCGATCGGAGCTGTGGACTCCATCTTTCTGCTTCGTGCTTCGCGCTGGTGCGATCTGTGAGGGTCATGGGGCCCGAAGCAGGGCACAGTCGCCCACCCCCCGAGCACTGGCCTAGCCATGCGCCGTCACGTGCGTAGGCGGGAAACGTCTGACTTCAAGCCTTCACAGCCATTGCGCTTGCTAGACAGCGCAAGATGAACAGGGGGAGGAAGTGGAGGAGGAAGTGGAGGAGGAGGAGGAATAGGAGGAAGAGGAGGAGGAGGACCAGTGTGAAACCAAGAGTCTCCAACAATGTTGGAATAAACCTTTTCCCCCAAGTTCCCTCTTCAGAGGTCCCTGCAACGGTTTCTTTCCACAGAAGAGCCTGCCTCGTTGGAAGGCAATCGTTTGAAGACCCTGAAGCATGCCAAAACATGATGTTCTGTATTCCAACGCCACGGGTGAACCTGACTGTTGCGTCTTGACGATCCTGACTCGTGCCAGGACGTTATTTCTGGGACCTCAACTCCGCGAATCATCGTGAGTGTTGGGCCCTCAGAATCGTGCATCCTTCCAAAACACAAGTTTTGGCACGTCGTTCATGGACATCCGTGCATAGCTTGCAAATGAAAAACAACGATTGTGCGCGGCGCTAAGGGGAGAGCCACCTGTTGAAAACGACCCGTCCTCAATCCGTGAAGCTTTTGTACATTTTCAAACGATTGTGCGCGGCGCTGCGGCGAAAGTCACATTTTGAAAACGACCCGCCTTCAACTCGTGAAGCACTTGCGAATTTCAACAAAAACGAGCGCGCGCGGCGCTGAGGCGAGAGCCTCATTTTGAAAACGACCCGCCCTCAACCCGTGACACTTTTACATTTTTAACATTTTGAAAATGACCCGCCCTCAATCCGTGACGCTTTTCTGTATTTTTTTAAAGATAAAAACCGAATGTGCGCGGCGCTAAGGCGGAAACACACATTTTGAAAACCCGCCCTCGGTCCGTGACACTTCTGCAATTGTTTAAAACGAATGTGCGCGGCGCTAAGGCGAGAGCCACAGTTTGAAAACGACCCGCCCCCAACCCGTGAACCTTTTCCATTTTTACCACGCATGTGCACGGCGCTAGGGCGAGAGCCACATTTTGAAAACGATCCGCCCCCAACCCGTGAAAAAAATCAAATCTTAAAAACGAGTGTGCGCGGCGCTAAGGCGAGAGCTACATTTTCGAAACGACCCGTCCTCCATCTGTGAAGCTGTTGCCGATGTTTAAGTTCTAGGATCCGAATGGTGAGGAAGTGTAAGGCGGAACGCCCGACCCGCCCTAAAACTGGCCTGGGGGTGCGACAGGGAGAGGTTATTTACAAGGAGAAGGAATGGAGGAGGAGGAGGAGGAGGAAGCGGAGGAGGAGGAGGAGGAGGAGGAGGAGGAGGAGGAGGAGGAGAGGAGGAGGAGGAGGAGGGATGAAGAGGAGGAGGAGGAGGAGGAGGAGGAGGCGGAAGAGGAGGAGGAGGAGGAGGATGCGGAGGATGAGGAGGAGGAGGAGGAGGAGGAAGAGGAGGATGAGGAGGACCGTATCCATTTTGGCTCAAGACGGGGACTCCTCCCCGTCCTGATTCCCCAGGTTCGAGGGCCGAGGTGGAAGGGCAACCCCTTCTCCAGGCCTGACTGCCTCGGCCCAGTTTTCAGCTTTCGCCGCGCTCTTTGTGAGTTTCGTTCGCTTTTTTCTGAGCATAGTGATGTACAACCGCCAGCGCGGTGGGGGTCAATCCCGTGGTGGACTGGGCCCGATCTGCGCCACATGCGAATGCAAGAACCCCGTTCATTTCACGTTCTGCTATCATTGTCGGTCTCCTTTTTCTGTTCTTCGTGGTGGTCAGCCTCGTCAGTGGCAGGGGGGACTTTGGGGTCAGCAGGACCGCGGAGGAAAAGGGGGCCACCACTATCGTGATGATAACAGATGGGAAGGACCAGCGCCAGTTCCAGCCTAACCCGATCGACGACCTCCATCGGTCAAGCAGTTGGCTGATGGCAAGAACAAGGATCTCCTTTCTCCTGCTGTACGTGAAAGTATCACTTCGTCATGGGACACGATTTTCTCGGAGAGGCACGGACGCACCCCTGCCAGCCAGAAGCTCGCCAAGATGGAGCAGGAGGTTAGGCGTCGGGAGAAAAACGTATCGAACATGACAGTGTCTCTTTAGAAACTCACTTCTGACACTATCGACCTCCAGGACAAGCGTGATCAATTGGCTTCTGCCTTGGTGCGGGAGCACTTGGAGTTGGCTGTGGCACACAAGAAAGTTGCTGTGCCCGCCGTCGTAGTTGTGTTGCCCACGATCGGTGAGTTTGCGCAGCGCCTCGACGCTTTCAAGACGTTGCCAGAACGATCCAGTCGCTTTTCGTTCCTCTCTGGGGTCCGCCTACTCGGCCCTGGGGTCTAAATTCGGTGAGGTTTTTCGTCCTATTCTTGACGGGTGCTGAGGACCAGTTGGGGAGGATGCACCTTATGCAGCTGTCGCCTCACTCGTTCCTGAGCAGCCCATGCAGGTTGACGAGAAGGACTGTGGGCAGGCATTGGCTTCAGTCGACAGTTTGTCGGAGCCGCACACATGAGCTCTCCTCGAGGCTTTTCGCGCCCGGGCGAAGAAGGCCGGGCGCAGATCGCCGGGCCCGCGCGCGCCAGTGGCGCCCAATCACCCCGGTGGTTCGGACTTGACCAGCTTTAAATATCTTCCTGAATGCGCTGAGGGCATCGGCAGTGTAGGATATGTGGCACTTCGTTGCGATCTTCGGGTGCCCCAGATTCGAGTGCGATGGGGAGAGGATCATCAGCTCCAGAAGCATCGGCGGCCTCTGGAGCATCAGCAGCAGCATCAGCACCATCATCTTGTGAGTCATCGAAGCTCTCTTCTGTTTCAACGTTGTCTTCCGTCACGTTCAACGGGCGTCGGGAGTCGCTGGCAAGGGGCTGCGCAGGATGAAACCAATGGGGCTTCTCGGATTCCGAGGGGTCTCGGATTTCGGGTTTTGATGCAGGGGGCCTAGGCCTCGATATGTTTTCTTCAGGCACATCAACTTCGGGGAGGACTCCGGCAGAGTGCCACTGCCAGCCTGCAGAGGTTTGGGTGGCGCGTCTTCACTTCGGATTGCCTGTCTACGGGAGTGGGTGATCCGCCTGGAAGGGCCATGATTGTGGCTTGAGACATTTGGATGTTTGGTTCCCACCTGGGACCTCCAGCTGCTTAGTTGATGGGCGTGTTACTCGGTGTTTTATGCGCAATGGGCATCTTGGGCTTGTTTCGTTGTGCTCCGTGTACTTCAGAGACCCCACTGGGCTTCTGGGGGCGAACCTCATGGTCCTAAAGGCTATCGACAGGGACATCATGGGTCACGACCTCCCGTTTATGATAGGTGGGGATTTTTATTTCAAACCAGGTGTAGTGGCCGCGTGGGAACCTCTCGGCAAGCTGCAGGGGCTGGTTCGAGTTCCCGCAATCCCCGCTTACGTTGCCGACGATGCAGCCACCGCAATGGACTACTTCATATTGAGTCGCCTGCTGGGCAATATCTCTAGCGATGTTCTTGTGGATTTGCACGGGGCATCTAGCCCGCGCGGGCCCGTCGCTTTCTTTTTTCCGCCGGTGCGATGTTGGCGTTCGAGTTCGCATTCAAAAGAAGTGCCAGTTCGCCCCCGCGGAACCCGCCGAGGGGCCACCCTGCGAACCTTTAGATTACAGTGATATTCAAAGGCGTCTTCGGGTTTTTTTCGGGGCAGGTTGGGGAGGGGGGCGGTTCTGCCTTCGTGCTTCGAGGAGTATCCCGTGAGGCTGGCGTTCGGCTTCTGGGCGGTGTGCATAAGGCTTGCGAGGCTCGGGCTTGGGGGGGAGTTCTGGAAGTCACCCGGGTCGCGGAATCTCGAGGATTGGATGGGGGGCCCCTGCTGTGTTCCAACGCGTCAGCATCCAGGCCCTCAGGGCCACGGGGAGTCACCGACGTGCCTTTCCTGGTAGGGCTATCTGGTGGGTGCTCCATCGTCTTCGGGAACTCAAGCGGTCGTTTCAAGTCCCGGGCGACCGTGTTCAGCATCGGGGCCACTTGCTGCCTGTATGGGCGGTCCTACCGCAGAAGGGGGTGCATTTCGACGCCATTGGAAGCGTGGCTCTGGTTTCTGGCATCCGTTCCTCGCCGGGGGTGCCGCTCGATTATTGTGCCCGCGGTGAGGGTGGCGACCCTTGTTTTTTGATTGACCAGGTCTTGTTCTGCTCAGATTTGGGAGAAGGTCGGGCAACTGGAGGAGAGGAAGGAGGCAGAGCGGTCCTGGGAAGAATGGCGTCCGGATTCAGTCAGCAACCGTTGCAAACGCGCTTGCTCTTTCCTGCGCGCAGGTGTGCCCCTGGCAGAGGAAGTCGCACAGGGCGATGGCGCTTGCTCCAGTGCTCTACCTCGGCGTCTAAAGGCAGGGCGACGTCTTTAGCGGGCAGCTCGGTGAACTTCTGAAGCTCCAGCTGGGCCGGGGGGGTCGTCTTTCCCCTGATGCAGCTTCCGGAAAGGTGCCTGTCCCGCCTGGGAGATCTGGCAGCGCCCTTGAGAAAATCAGCCAGCGATTCAAATGCAGGACTCGTGCCCCTGATGGCTCTCATCCTCGGCATTTTTCGGTATTCCGATTCTGGCCTGAAGTCCTTGGGGATGATGTATTCTGTGATGGATGCGGTTGGTTAGGCGCCGTCATCGAAGCGCCAGCTTGCCGTGCTCCTC